ACGCGGGTGGCCGGACGCTCCCTGGTGCAGCAGCCGGTGTGCGGCACTGGTGCCCATCACACCCCGTGTTAGTACCGGGGCCGAGGGGCCCAACACTGGCGTGTCCTGCCGGGAGCACCAAGGGTGAATCCCACCCTCTGCAGACACGGGGGCGGGTGAACCCAGACATGCTGGAGTTGGTGCCCCAGCCACAGCTCTGCATCCTCCCGTCAGCACCACGCTCACCGTGCTGTGCCAAAACCTGGGATCTCACTGGTGTTTTCTTACCAATGAGGATGGATGGATGGATGGATGGATGGATGGATGGCAGCTCTGCATCCTCCCGTCAGCACCACGCTCACCGTGCTGTGCCAAAACCTGGGATCTCACTGGTGTTTTCTTACCAATGAGGATGGATGGATGGATGGATGGATGGATGGATGGATGGATGGATGGATTTTTAAGGGCCAGCATTCCCTCCTATCCCACACTTCTGCCTTGCAGGGCTGGGGTATTCAGCACTTTCAGCAGATCCCAGTGATTTTGGGTGCTACTGCCAACTCAGTGGTGACTTGGGAAGTAATTTTCTAGAAAGTCTTGGCCTCTGGGCCCTGGGCTTTATGATGAAATGGTCACTGTTGCTGAAGCCCACTCCCTGCCTGGCACTCCGGGCCCAGCTGTGCTGGGGGTGTGGGGGCTGCTCCAGGCATGTGCCCATTCCAGGCTCTGCCTCCAGCCCTTGAAAGCACAAGCACCTCCTGGAACCAGAGCAGCTTTCCAGGATAGTTCCTGCCAAGTGAGAATAACTGGTGCAGCTGGTCTCCCCACTCCCCTCCACCCCACATTACATATAATTGCCTATTTTAATTAATAAATTGGAGGCCACTCAAAGGAAAGCGGCGAGATTTGTTACAAACACTGCAGGGATCGTCTGCCAGCCCCGAGCCAGTCATGTCACGGCGGATTTGAATCGGCTGCCTTTGAATTCGCTCACAGACAGATCAGGAGATTTACATCCCCCACCTCGTCTCCCCGAGCCTTGCACCTCCAGGCTGCAGGTCCGGATCCCGCCCTGGCACTTACCCAGCAGCTTCCGATAACCTGCCAGCAGCCACAGGCTGTGAGGTCTGAGGGATGCTGGCGGCGTGTGGTCTCCAGCCAGCTCCCACCCAGCTCTGCCCTGGGCCCGGGGTTTCTCCAGTGGGCAGTGGTGCCCGTAGCACGAGCCGTCGCTGGGGAGATCACCTGCCCCCAGGCCCCACGGCGGTGGAGGGACGGGGAAGCGCAGTCCCAGGGGACAGCTTTCGGGCTCCACCAAAAATTTCCCTTTTCTTATGCTTGATTTAAACCATTGTTTTTCAAGGGAAACTTTAATGTGAAAAACATGTTTTGTGTTTCTACTAAGTGCAGGCCTGGGCTATGTCAGCAATCAAGCTTCTCTTCTGATGAGAGCTGGGGGGAGGACATGAACTGTGGGGGGAACCTGCCCTGCAGCAGCTCTGCCCTTCGCTGGCCGAACCTCTGGCTGCTGAGAGCTGGAGACTGGGGTCCTGCAGGGCTGCCATACTGGTGGCACTGGCACACTCCAGGCTGGTGGAACTGGCATGGTCCAGGCTGGTGGGGCTGGGATGCCCCAGGCTGGCGCGGCAGGGGTGCTCTAGTGGCTGTTGTCATTGTAGTTTGTAGCAGAAACTTCTTTCTCCTGGTAAGAGCCAGAGCTGTGAGGCCTGGCTGCAGGAACAGCTGGTGTGGGGATCCAGAAGGGGCAGAAGGGTGCTGAGGTGCAGAGGATGGTGGCAGCAGCTGGGCTATCCCATTGGACAACCAGCACATTGCTCCTGGACCCAAGATCTGTGGAGAGACGTGTCCTTCCTGCTGTGGCTCTGCTGCCCCTGTCCAAGGAGCCACAGCGGCCTTTCTGCCCCTGGAGGTTCCACCAGCTCCCGGCTCAGCCCTGCACGATTTCATGGCGTGTGGCGGTGCTGCCAGGTCTCAGCTCTCCCCTCCAGGCTCGCTTTGGCCCGTCCTTCACCGCGGCAGAGGAAGCGTTTACTCTGGGGAAACCGCACGGCCGGCCCGGCCGCTGACTCACGGCTTATTTTGCAGGACGTGCCCGGGAAAGTTACTCAGAGGCGTGTGTCAGGCGCGGCGGGGCCGGCCACGTGAGGCCCGGGGGCCGCAGGCGCCGGCCG